GAGAGAGAGAGAGAGAGAGAGAGAGAGAGAGAGAGAGAGAGAGAGAGAGAGAGAGAGAGAGAGAGAGAGAGAGAGAGTTGCATACTAGTGAATACTTCACCAAGTATGGGCTGAACCAAAGATAAACCAATATAGGATGAGCATGTATGCAGCCGAAGTCTGAGAAATGGACTGACTCACATAGACTGAACTTAACCAGACATCTCTCAACACACAAGCAATCGGGAGATGGTGGGGTCTGAAGCCAATCATAGACGATGCTTCAGGCCCCCTACAACCATACACAGATGAAAGGTGGGAGGAGAGATGATGGAGGTGGGAGGTATAGGCAGGGCCAGATGTCACCGAGATAGAATCCAGAAGATCACTGATAATGGTAGTCCAAAATGTCATCGAACAAAGATCGAATGTCGTGGACAATAAGTCACCAATGGCCGAGATACAGAGTCCTAATGTAACCGGTGTCCAATCTGTGATGCCGCCGAGTATCAATCCCAACTATCTCCAAGGTCTCGAATCCGGTAAGTATCACAGCCTCCTACCACCGAATTCCAAATGCTGATCTCTGTCCAACTCGTATCAAAGTCTCCAGTCTGATGGAGGAGAAGAAGTAGAAGAAGTTTGAGGGAGAGGAAGGAGAAGTCTGGGGAAGAGAAGAAGAAGGAGAAGAAGAAGAAGACTGAGATGGAGAGGAGGGGTAGAGATGGGGGGAGCTGGTGAAGATAGCAAGCTGGTGTCTTGGTGGCGGTGGGAGTCCTGCTGCAGATCGCTGGATCTATGGCGCTCCACTGTCTCCGGTGTGTCCTCATTGGTCTCCTCGCTCCGTCCTGGACTGCAGTGCGTGAAAACTAGCACTGCAGTTCATAGGGCAGCGCTACTCTGGCTGCTCCTGTTCCAACCTGTGGGAATGGCCGCTGGACCGGCCTAAGCACCGTCCGACAGCCGGTCGGCCTCGATGCTGGCCTCCTGCGCCGTGGGCTGAACCGTTGAAATGACCGTTCAGTCGTTTGGGCCAACCCTGGTCGGTCTGCTAGGTGCTGAGGCGCCAACCGGTGGCCTAACAGGGCCTACCGGTGGAAAAAGGCCTGGCCTTCAGCGAGGCCGGCCTGGGTACCCCTGAACCGGTACGTCGGGCCTGTGAAGGCCTGTGTTAAGTTGCAGAATGTAACACACTCCCCCCCTTAAAAGACCGAGCTACTTGTGAGGGCGAAGTTGTCTGTCTGATACCTGGGTGGGTTGGGTGGGAAGAACTTTGTCCTTGGCAAGTCTCCGGTTCTTGTAATCGGAGAAGACGAGTGGTGCAGATGCCTGTAAGTCTGCGTGGGAGATCCAACAGTCATCCGGGTCACATTGCTTGAAGGTGACTTGATATTGCATTGGCTTGTTGCCAAACTTGTGGTGCATGATGACACGGTCAACTTCCTGGTGGCCGTCCATAGAGGGCGGATCCTGTGATCGTCTGCTCGGGAACTCGTTTGCGGATGGTGGTGTATAGATAGCCAGCTTCGATGCATGGAAGACCAGATGCACGCAGAGGTGTGGAGGGATGGCAATCACGAAGGAAGGACCTGCAGGGTCGTCGCCTGCGGCAGAAATTACCTTCCATGGTGCGAACCATTTCGGGAGGAGTTTGTGCGAGACGTCCTGCTCCAGCGCGAATTCCTTAGTGAGGATCCAAACAAGGGCTCCATCGCGGAAAGGACATGGGAGTCGACGTTGGTTAGCTTGCTGTTGCATGCGGAGTTGAGGCTTTTGCATGTTCGTGCGGGCTTTGGTCAGCAAGTCCCAGCACCTCCGAACGGAAGCGGGAGAGCAAGCGACGACGATGTCGGTGGCCCGTGGTAGAAGAAGATAGACAAAGACTTGGGGGCTTTCTCTCCACCGTGATGCAACACGAATGGAGTGATGTAGATCGCTCGGTGCACCGAAGTGTTATAGGTGAACTCGATGTCGGGAAGCCGGTCAACCCAATCTTTCTGGTCAGGATGGATGAGTGTATGTAACATCATTTGAGCGGGTCTAATGCGCTCGTTCCGACTGACCATCCGTCTGCGGGTGCCGTGCGAAACTTGGCTTCATAGTCGAATCGAACTCCGTCATGAGGGAAGTCCAAAAGGTTGACATGTAGCGAGTGTCTCTGTCGCTCACAATGTTTTCCGATACATCTCGGCAGGTAATCCAGCTGGTGTGCAAGAGTCGTGCGAGTTCGGGGGCTGTAGCACGGTACTTGCATGGAAGAAAACGAGCGTACTTGCTCAAACGTTCAACGACTGTGAGGATGTCGTCATGATTGAGGCAATCACGGGGAAACGGGCCTGTAACATCCATAGTAGTGGCAAGGCGTGGTGCCCGAGGGATTGGCATTGGTTTCAGTTCGTCATAAGGGACCTTAGATTTACCTTTGTTACGATGCGAAACTGCGCATGACTCAATGTACCTCGTGATGTCATGAAGATCGTCAGGTCAGTGAAAATGCTGGCGGAGGCGGGTCAATGTGCGGGTCACGTCGAGGTGTGCCGAAACTCGTGAGTCGTGGAATTCGCCGAGAAGACGAGTTCGTAGGATGTGATCCAGGGGCACGACTAACAAGTCCTTTCCTCTCGTGTGGAGGAGTAGGAACCCGTCGGAGATACGATTATGGCCAGCCGGCGGGTGATTTGACGAGAGCTCCGCATAAAGCGTAGAGTACGTTGGATCAGACTTGTACCCTTTGACGAAATGCTGCTGCAGATCGTCGTCGAGCTGGAACGTCGTAGTCACGAGGGCACAAAGATCGGGCCGTTGCTTGATTGGCAGGATCGGGAATGTGGCACGACTCAAAGTCAAACTGGTGGATGTAATACATCCATGGACCGATCGTGGTAGTGACTGTGTCCTGCGTTTTGTAGAAGGACAACAGATTGTTGTCCGTGTTCCATCTAAACGCTGACGACTGAGAAGAAAGTGGCGCCACCGTTTGAGAACGTTGACGAACGCGAGTAACTCCTTTTTTCTAGCGCTGTCGAAAGTGTTGATGGGAAACACTTTTTGGGAGAAGTACTCGACCGGGTGCCAACCATCCGTGTGCCATTGTTCCAATACTGCACCAATATTGTATCCGGAAGCGTCCGTAGTCACTTGGGTGGGTAGGCTGGGGTTATAAATACGGAGGGCCGACGCGGCTTGCATCGCCGCCTTCAACGTATTGAATGCGCCACGAGCTGCGTCGTCGAACTCAAATGGTACCTTTGGGGACTGAAGTCTCGACAAAAAGGCTGCCACTTCGGAGTAAAATTCGACCAAGCGTTAATAGTATTCAACCAAACCCATGAAAGAGCGTACTTCCGTAGTGCAATGGGGTTCTGACCAATCCACGATGGCTTGGATCTTGTCCGCTAAGGGACGAATGCCTTTTGGCGTCACATAATGGCCTAAGTACTCAAGCTCATTCACACTTGTCGTGGTTTGCTTTGTACTTGGCTGCGCCCAAACGATCCAACACCGCACGAAGGTGTACGAGGTGCTCGTCAAGCGTCATACTAAAGACCAAGATATCATCGAGGTAGATGAGGACTATGCGATCGAGCAAGTATTGGAACTCGGTCGTCATGGTTGCTTGGAACTTTCTATAGTCGATGCACAACCGTAGGTCCTTGTTCTTTTTTCGGACGAAGAGAACAGGTGCACCGTAAGGCGAACAACGAGGGTGAATCCAACC